TGTACCCACCACTGTGAAACACATCGACAATGATAGCAATTTGTCTGTGCACAATATTTTTCATGTCCTGGTATCCTGGTAACTCATTAAGGACTCGTTGCAGAGACCATGACAATCAGTGCTTCCTCCATTTTGTATAAAGTTTAAAAATCCTGGAGTTGATAATAAACAGATTATCAAGGTGGTGGCGACTGGCTCTCTCCTGGCTCGCTCCCCTGGGCTGTAACTTTTGGAGTCTGTCGAGTTCTGTGAGGGACTGACAGCTGCTAAGTCAGGTCTCATTCAAAATGAATAGCAGCATAGCAGCTGTCACAGCTTTTTTGAATCTGTATGAATCTGTGTAAACAGGCGGTTGGCACTTAAAATACTGTATGAACACACGTTTGACTGACTAGGTCTTGGTGTTTTCTCAGAATTCATTTACACAGACTCATTACTGGTGAACATGAGTGTGGACTGATTCTGCCTTTGATTCTACTTTTGTCTATTTTCAGATTTTCTATTGAGAGCCAAGCCACTATAAGCTAAACTAACAGAAGCACACTTGGAATAGTGCAGTGGTTTGAATAAGCTGTGAAAGCTCCTTCAGTGCTCTGTGGCCTGCTAACCATACAGGGGATCAGAGGAGGCCTGCACAATACCACAGTGACACGTACTGTCTTGGTATTTTTGTCCTTCTCAGCTGCAGTACATACATGAGAGGGTCAGAATATTAGGAATACCTCTGAATATAATGTAGGCCAGTACAACACCACCTTTAACTATGACCTCAATAATAAACATCTAGTTGAATTTATAGAGTTATAACAATTTCACAAAAAACTGAAACATTTTGAGCTTCATAAACAGATTTTAAGACAGAAGTGCTGCATTGAATTGCATACAATTGTACAGGTGTACCTAATAAAGTGGCCAGGCAGTGAACATATACTGTGCATATATACATATAGTATGTACTCTCCTCTATTCTCCTCTTCTATTAGTAAGTGGATTTAGTGAACACCCTGTATGAGTCAGGATTGTTCTTGGGATTATGGTCAGGGAAGCCTTGACTCACCACTAATTACCATCTATTTCTCTCTCACACACACAGAGTTCCCATATTTCCCTCCCTGCACCAAACTCAAGAGATTTAATTGATATTTTTAGGTCACACTGGCTTGTCAGCTTTAGCTACTGGAAATCCTTCACAACAGTGGTTTACATGGCTGAGTGTTATCATTTTGGGCTATCAGTTTCTCTCTGCTCCACGCTGGGATTCCAGTCACATTAAAGCTGTTTGCATTTTCAAGCATTTAGATTAAACTTGCTTTTGTTCTGAGGAACTTAAATTTTGCTGCAACACTCTAGTTTTTGCTGATTACACTGTTTAGTGTAAAGTTTGTACAAGGTGCTGGAAGGAGACTGTGACTGGAACCGGCACAAGCAGTTTTAACCCTGACTTCAGAACAGCAAACCAGGCTTGACCCTTTCACGGACACCGGTGGGGTCATAGGAGTTTGTTGACTACACTCAAGAACCATTTTTTGAACTTTGCATTTCAACTGTATTCAAAAGAACCACAAAGGTCGTAGTCATATTAGACCAATGAAGGATTAAAAAAAAAAGAAAGATAAAAGTATTTGAAACGCAATTATCTCATTTGCAAATTAAGTTGTAAAGTCAGTGTTTGATCAGTAAAAGATGTTACATCATGCAGACTCCACTACAGGAACTAGTTTGCCACCTTTGCCAAGCAAAGGAGTCCAAGATTTGTGGTTGACGACTGAGGGAGATCCAGCTGGAGATCGACAGGTGGATGAGTCCACAGTTATTTTCAATCAGCTGGTAAGCTCAGTTATGATGATTGACCTTAAAATCACACAAAACATTTGTTCTCTCTAATGGAGAACCGTGTACTGGTCGCAGAAAGATAAACCTTTTACATGTTCATGTTTCATCAGTTTAGTTTGTACTGTGTTTTTTCTATGTGTGGGTACTCTGAAGTGTTCACACCCTGAGTTAATAGGCTGTGCACATATATAGTTACTGGTTATAATTGGTGTGATTGGTGTAATTTGTCAACTAATGCTGCATGATAGCAGCTACACGTGGATCACAAAGAAGCAACAAAAACATCTACCAAAATGAAAATCTGTGTTTTTATTTTGAGAGTTTCAACCCAGAATTTCTCCCTAAGTGAATCAAATTGTTAGCGTTTGTTGTTGCTGTTGTTGTTGTTTAGGAGTTCAGCTTTTTCAGTAACTGCTGTTTAGGAGGCTGTTTTGACTTGCATGGAGAATTAATTCACATGAGCAAATGACAGCATTCGAATGCAGCTACACTACCAACAGCAAAACACCACTGATAAAAGTTTGAGCATGTATCTGTGACAGCTGTGGAGGAAGGATGTGTCAGCTGCAAGATCAGGTAGCAACTTAGGCTAAAACAGTGGCCAGCGAAGCTTTAAGTCTTTGGGAGGATGCGAGGTGAAGTTGTGGAGGAAGGGAAAGATGGACAGCTATAGGGAGGAAGAAAGAGGAGGATGGGTGGAGGGAGGGAGGTGTATAGTGTGGTAGAAACTTCCCATGCTGGCCTCCCAGTGTGGCTACGTAATGAGGGCAAGGGACACAGACACACACTCGGGGCTGAGCACGGCCCCACGGCTGATTAGCGGCACACAAAGGCTCCAAACAGAAGTAGCAGAGGACACACAATGGGAGCAGGGCCTCAAGGCGTGGTTTACTTCTGCCCTGAGGGAGCAGGCAAGAGCGGTAGAGAGACAGCGAGGGACGGAGGGGGAGAGAGAGAGCGAGAGGGTCCCACTGAGCTGGAGTGAAGGGGGAGGGGAGGACGGGGTTTCTGGGGTTAGAAAAGTGGCCTGAGCAGAGAGGAGTTTTGTTTTTGTCCCGATAGAGACGTGCTGGGTTTCTACTGAATTCTATTTGCAGTGACTGCAGTGTCAGGAAACCTGTTGAATGGGTCGACATCACGGCTGCTCGTTCCCATCCACCTGTTCCAAATAACTTCATCTTAATTGTGAAAAAATTGCATCTATGGCTGAATTAGAAGATTCATTGATTTAGTAAAGAGCTCATTTAGTTAAAGTTGCCTTTCTATTCAGATACAGTGATGTTACTGTACCTGCTTTCTTCTTCATCTTCTACTATTTTACTTACGGCGGGGTAGAGGTATTACACACCTGAACTTCAACCACAAAACCTTCAAAATACAACGCAAAAAAAACTTTGACATCACATGGTGTGAAGATGCATCAGATCTAGAGTTATGTAATTACAATCTTGTTTTGCATACTCATTCCCTCAACATTTGGATAAAAACATGCCTTCATATTCATAGTGTATCAGTTTATTCATTATATTTAAAGGAAGAATGTGGCGACATCTTTGGTCATCATTAAAATGGTGTTCTTACAGATCAGAACATGAGTCCATCAGCAGCTGATTTCAAGCTTTGGCAACCAAAGAAATGTAGGACTAGATTCTCACAATGCGACTGCTGCTCTGACTCATGTTCACATCCAGTCAGAATATGGCATGAAATGATGCTGAATGCACTGGGTTACTGCTGCACCCACAGGACAGGCTGTATGTACCGATCAGCTTCATGATGTCCCGGCTGCAGCCATAAGTGCTACATCTGGTGAATCTTTTATATTATTTTCATTGCTTTCTTGTTTTTTTGTGATTTTCAGTAGTTTTCAGGTTTTTTCTTCTCATTGTCCCTCACATATTGGCATCTTTCATCCATCCAACCATTATCTATACCACCTTTTAATGCATTGGGTTGCGGGGGGCTGGAGCCAATCCCAGCTGACACTGGGCAAGGGGCAGGGTCCACCCTGGACAGGTCGCCAGTCTTTCACAGGGCTGACATGTAGACAAACAACCAAACTCACTCCTACTGGCAATTTAGAGTCGCCAGTCAACCTAAGCTGCATGTCTTTGGACTGTGGGAGGAAGCTGGAGCACCCGGAGAGAACCCACGCAGGCACAGGGAGAACATGCAAACTCCACACAGAAAGGCATCGGGTCAGCCCAGGCTCAAACCCGGAACCTTCTTGCTGTGAGGCGACAGCGCCACTGTGCTCATATTGGCATCTTTTGCTGTCTAATTGGGAGTATTAGACAGTGCAGTTTAGCTCTGTGCCGACTGGTCCTTTCTTGAAGCAGACTGATTGTGAATCATTCAGACTGAAAACATCGAAGTGGTGTATTTGTAGGTGTCTACATACAGTCTGTAGGTTCTTAATTGTGATGCCTGACAATGCCTGATGAAGATCTTTTTTAGACCAATTAAGCTGAATTAAACTGCTGGGAGCTTAGTGCAGTGTGTGGATCTGCTTTTTGCCTTCGAGTTGCTACATTGTCAAAACACGAGGCGCCACAGACACATGTCATGTCTCTACAGTTCACAAAGCATTATGTGGTGAACCTGCAGAAATCAGATTATCACAGTGTCTATAGGCACATTACTCTCTAAAACCAGTTGTTTCTGACACCAAGTGTGCAGCAAAATATTTACTGAAACAGATATTTTGCACTAAACTCTATAGAAAATAAGTAAATTCACACAATAATAATGAAATGTTTGAGCACAAACATGATCATAAATGCTATATATACAGTATTTTTTTACCATTCTTGGAGCAGATTAAGGTTTGATTTGAATATAAAATCCCATTCACACATGAATCCTGCAGCTTTGCTGAGACCTGTGTATCAGTTTGGACAAGGTGGTTTGAGCCTTTGAAAAGCTAATAATAAAACAGTTTAGTATCAAAGAATAAATGCGCCAGGTTCAGTTACATATTCAAGCAGAAAAGTAAAGGTACAATATGATGAACATTGGCAGGAGTGCAGCCCAATAGTAGTTACTGCCACCACAGTTCATGCTCATCCACCAGCTCTGTGCACAGATTACTAACTACATACTGTATTTCTACAGAGAATGAATATTATATGGCGACGACTAATGAACATGGCCTTCCCTCCACACAGGGGCAGCGGCTGCTGTAATCTTCACTGTTCAATTAGCTGAGCTGACAGGACGCCACCTCCACTTCATTAACAGGGAGGAAGGTATGGAGCTAGCCCCTGTCTCTCTCTGACCGTCTGCCTGTCTCTTTCCTTTCCTCCATCTCTCAATCCTCTTTCCTGGAGAAATATTTTAGCAGCAGAAATATAAAGTTTCCAAATTAGTTTCTCTGCAATGATTTAAACACTTACCTTCAAAATTCAAATAGTAAAAAGTGGCGTGGGATTCGAAATCCTCAAAGTCAATCTGGCTTTTCCTGTTTTTCAGGTACTTAATGCTATTTAAATACACCATCTCTAACAGACGCCCTCTCTCATGCATATTAATGGTCCTCAGCAAGAGAGATACTTCTGAAACAAGTTGTGTAGTAGTTGTATTTGATAAATCACAAAGGCCGGTCAGAGGAGCTAGTTGTAATACAATGATAAAACAGACAATTAAGAAAAAATTTCACTAACGTTAATTTCCTAAACACACTCTGGAGAGAGGCTGTTTAACGAGATGCTCAGCACATTATTTCCCTCCTCTGTGACACTGAGTGTTACACCACAGGCCTCCCAAGTGCAGCCCTCTGCTCACTGCTGGGTTGTATCTCTGCGGTGTTATCCCTGGTTGTTGTTCTTTCTTTGTCCCACTCTCTCTGCGCAACAGACGCCACCTCTTCATTCAGTTTTAGCTCCTCCATGGCTGGATGTTTGAAATTACTATACTTCTGGTTCAAAGAACTCTTCTTCTAACCTTGGCTAGGTGGCAGGCAGGGCTAATTTACAGACTGTACTTTGACAACACAGGGTAGAGAAGCTGGAATAACAACAAAAGGGCTGTAGGCAGCAGAGGGTCATGGAGGAGGGAGTGTAGCTGTGAGACACCATGTCCAACCCCATTTTCACTGGATTTATCAGATACTATGTGAAATCTTAGTTAATTTTAAAACACACGCTTTTAAAAACACTGTAATTTCACTGGAACAAATTCTCTTATGGGAAGACCAATAATACATGAATAATATTGCAATAAATGATCGCAGTTCCACTTAAGAGCTTGTATATCATTCAACCTGATATTATCCACGCTATAAAACAACTGATAGCCAGTCATTCAGAAGTGGGTATTAAAACCTGCACTTTGTGTCAAGCCTGTTTGTATGTAGGCCACTGCTGGCAGTCAGATCAGGTAACACAATGATACAAGCCAAAGCCACTTTTGTCACAGGATCACATTAGCTCTGTGAGGCACACATGTCACTTTTTTCACAGCTGTAGAAAAGTCACATTCCTTGGTGAGTCTTCAACTGGAGACGGTCACGATGGTGTGAGATCTTTAAAAAATTTTAAAAATCTGATCTCTTGGTCCCTCGTGTAAATGCAGTCATACTCTGTGTGTGCGCTTGTACTGTGGGTGCTGCTGTGTAAAATAACATGGAAAACGTGATTTTCCACTATAGTGAGGTTTCCACAGCATGTTTCCCAGAGGCAACAGCAGAGACATGATTGAATTGTGTGTGTGTGTGTGTGTGTGTGTGTGTGTGTGTGTGTGTGTGTGTGAGAGAGAGAGAGGACTTTGACTAAGATGCCCCAGCCCTCTGCTGCACCTCCACCAGTCTGTTACAGTGATTTTTCTGTCATTGGATGAATTAAAATGTTCATTAGCAAAATTACAACCACCAGCTCATAAAATTCGTTTTATTTTTTTTTTAAGAAATGCATGTTTGTTTTAAGGAACAACTCTTTGTTCCTTCTTCCTTCAGAGCAGACATTCTGGAGTTGTGTGCTTTTCATATTTCAGCAGTGTGATTGCAGTAGCACTGAGCGAGAGGAAGACAAGCCTATTAGATTTACACATAGCTGAGCCTTGTCTTTCCATCTGTCAAACACACAGTAACCCTGCTTCTTTCTCCCCCTGTAGGTGATGTTGGAACACAGGAGCCAGTAGTTCAAGAGATGAAGAAGATGCTGACATGTCACACACACACTCACACACGCAGCAGTAAAACACTTGTTTTACTCTGTCAGTAGTGTGAGCCATTTCCAGGTGAAGCAAATGAATTAAAGTGATTCGAGCTGAACCGGTCTGAACTGGAATGACCAGAGCCGAAGTGAAAGGAAGGCTTCAGCCGGACAGGACACAGCTCTTTGAAGTGTGTGTGTGTGTGTGTGTGTGTATTTATGGTGTATGGTGTTTATCTAAGACCTCAGCTGTTAACTGTACAATGTCAGATTTCTCTTTATGTTTTCTTTGCTGTGCTGATGATGCTCATGTTTATGCACCACAACTTTGTATGAACTGCTTTGTGTCCATGTACCTTCAGGAATTTTGTGGAATAAAAAATGTTATCAAAATAAAAGTGTGAAGCCACTGGGATGCTTATCTGGAGCTACAGGTACATTTTGGATTATAAAACTTAAAAAAACTTCCTGCTTAAGAACTTTTGTCTCGTTTAGGGTCAGACGAACATTAGCGTTTGCACACTTTCATTTGAAACTGCATCCTAAGCATCAGGATTTGATGATGTCCAGTGAGAAGCTAGCATAGCAGTGGTGTTCAGTAAAATGTTTGGTGAGTAGTTACACTTTTAGTTAAGCTGAAGGATTACAAACAAACACTGTCTTTGCTTTGAGACCATCTTCTTTCAAATCCCTTATCGAAACCATTAGATTATCAAATGGATTGTCACCAAGCTAGAGACAACTTTGTTGCTCATAGGCTATGAAAAACATATTTTTATTTATAATTTTGTTGTAATATTACACACCGAATCATTACGTTTTTAATTTATTTTAATGTATTTAAATATTTCATATGTAATATTTTAAGATGTTTGTAGAATTCACACCAAGTATACCCGAACACTTGGAAAAGAAACAAGTTAAAGAAAGATTTAAAGATGATGCCTTAGCCTTTGTAAATTGATTTTCATGAAACACATCTGAAACAGCTGAATGTTTATCTACTGTTACATTTAATCATTTAAAAAAGCCTATACATTGAATGAAGATGAAATGCCTGCAGTCTTATGGACGTTCTGACAGCACGCTTCTTATTTCTAGGAACATAAAATGAAAGATTTTGTTTGAGTTCATCGTCAGAGACACCGATGTACTGGAGCATATGCGCGGTGTGGGCACATACACGCCAGCGTGGAGAAAACAGTAGCTCCTGGCTATCTGCAGTAGTGAGTGTAAATGATCGCATAGTTGTGGTCATAACTCACAGCCACACGAGCTACTGATGGAAGCTGACACCCGGTGTTTGTGCGTGTGTGTGTGTGATTTTAGACTGTTCATGTTGCTTCCCTTCTGTCTCTGCTCGTCTTCCTCCCTCCTCAGTGCCTCGGGTGATGAAACCGACTCTGTTACATCAGAACAACAACCTTTTTCCTCCACCCATATACACACACCACACATTTGTTTGCCCACACTCTAGAACCACATTAGTGTGTTTAACCTTATTGATTAGGTCACGAATCAGAGTGATCCATCACTGATATCTTTGTTTACAGGGCGGAGATGAATTGATAGTGATGGATAACAGATTAATCAGTAGACATAGTGAAGTTGAGAGCATTCTCTCTCTCTCTCCTCGCTCACACACACAGAGAGACAATGGCTTTTTCCACTGTGGTCTCCAAACTAATAGAAAACAAACAAACTTTTGGTACACGGTCAGGCTTTTCTTTCAGGTTCAGATCATTAATGAGTTGACTGCCCAAGACAATGCAAATTGCAGTTTATCTAAAAAATCTAATTGCAGTTTGACTTGTGTTTTTCTTTAATAGAGGATCATCTAAGAAGCATGTGGACATGGATTACCTGTACCCTTTCATTGGGTTACACTGGTGAGACATGGCAACAACAGCACTCATGAGCAGGACTGGTAAAAGAAAAAAATGCACACACGGCTATATCTAACTGTAATAATAACGATAATGTGTAATATTAACAGCACTAATACAGAGATGATTACAGGTACCATCAATATGCCAACAAGTAATTCAATCAAGCACAAACTAACTAACAGTATAATATATGCTTTTTTATGCTTTTTAGTTTAGGTAACTCATCACATTAAAATCCTCATCCAGGTCTGTTTGGTTGTGATATGGGGTTGTTTTCTTCATTCAGTCATTCATTAGAATGTTATTTTGTTCACTGTTTGCCTAATTAAACTTACAGTAATAAATTTAAAACATCTGCCATCCCTTTGTGGGCTTCAGACTGAAAAATAACTGTACCAAACTGTAGCAACACTCACGTCTTCAGCGCCCACAAACAACCTGTAAGTGATGACCATTAAAGATGAGAGGCCTAAGCCTGACCCAGAGGGATGTAGCTACTGAGCTTAGACAACAGCAGAGTCAGAGCTAGTCTAGTTGTACTCACAGTTTAAAAGTCGTCTGGACATCACACGACGAGGTATGGGAGTGCTACTTTGATGAAGGACTTCAGATAGAAAGAAAAAAGGCAGGAAGAAGCCTTCACTAATGTACTTATGGAAATAAACTGTAAGAATTAACGCCAGTGTTGTACATTTAGTGTCAGTGCAGTTAGAGTTGTTGAATTTATTTTTGCTGATTAAATACAGTAGCTAGCAACAGTGCTGCAGTGTCCTGTGAGTGTGACAGATGTGTCTACAGTGTTTACACTGCCTCTCAGTGGTCAGAGCATTGATGCCGGTCAGCTGTGATTAGTGGACATCCCACTCTACATCACAGTGAAGAGCTACTTTTTATGCATATCCTTCTGGTTTTCTTTAAACAGCTTGGATGCGAGGATGCACTGCTCAGACTGGTCAGGTTTTATTTCATGCCCATAAAGCCCCTTTTGAATTTGAACTTGTGCGACTGCTGGTGTCCAGAGTATCCTTTGTGTTGCTGGAATTAACCTGTGATGTGTCACATGTAACTGGCTGCTAACCACTAACCCTGTTCAGGAATCATCCTTAGTGTGTGTGTGTGTGTGTGTGTGTGTGTGTGTGTGTGTGTGTGTTAGTGAAAGCAAGAGAGGTCAAGCTCTCACAAACACAAGCAAAATCATTGTTCCTGATGGAAAACCACAAACATACCTTTCCATACTCAGACAAACACTGATGTGCTCACTCTGGATCCTGCCTGCTGGTTCTGAAGTGTGACGTTGACAAATCTGCAGTTATTCAAATAAAGATGTAAAACGACAGTTGAATGTAATTCTATTTAAATCTAAGTTAAAACAATGACACTGTTGACTGTCAAGTTTAGGTAGCACACAGTAACTATGTTTGTAAACATGGAAATAAATATCAGAACAGTATTAATGAGTCTTACACAATTAAATGTTATTGGACTGTTTTACATATACAGTGATCCTGGAGGCACACTGTTTCCGGAAAGACATGTTGCTGTTACACTTTCTAAATGCTGTACCACAAATTAAATTCTCTTTAACAACACCCTGAATGTCTAGGTAGCTCTAGGAGGAGTGTGAACTTTATCATTTGTATCTTATTTTACTTATTTATGTGTTTACCCCAAAATAATACAACATAATACTCATTATTGTTTATTTGTAATTGTTAAGGACTTACTGTTGATTTTACTTTTTAGATGAACTAATGACTAGCTGTGTTACAACAGTGTGTTTTTATTTTTATTTATTTGTTGTTGTTGTTGTGTTTGTCTTGACCTGGACACTCTTGTAAATGAAATTTTTAATCTCAGTTAAATTGTGTGGAGAGACATCACTTTGTGCCTAAACTCCTTCTTCTCTCCTCTCAGGTGTGAGAAATAAACTGGAGGTTTCATTTTCCCACCATGGCTGATAACGAGGTCTTTGATAACGAGGAGGCCTGAGCTCCTCCTCGTCCCCTCCCCAGACTACAAGGTGCAGGATCTTCTGGGGTGCAGCACCTTTGGCGCAGTCGTCCGATACAGGAAGCTAACCGCTGAACTGCACTGAGGAGGCAAAACAAGCTGACCAACACTTCAGTTGCACAGCAATTCAAATAGTATTTCATTCACATCAAATGTCTAGTGTCTCATATGATCCCCGGGAAGCCATCCTTTAAATGATGAAAAAACTTGACTCAGACAAGTTTAGCATCATCAGATGGAAGGAGTTCATTTCCTACCAGGGACGGTGCTGTCTCGATTTTGAGACGCTGGACATGATTTCATACAGAGGGACCAGCCTCAGTGTCTTCAGCTGAAGGAGATTTGCTCCAATGTGCAGCAGGTTTGTTTTTGTAATCACTGACAAAGCTGTAATGTGTGTCATATTTTTCTAATCACTGCATTCTCATTATTGAAAACATCTGACATTAAACATGTTTTGTCATAGTTTTTGATGGCAACATTAAAGCTGCAGCACAGTTGATTTGAACTCTTATTCATGATTTCAGCCGGCTGACCAGTCTGACCACTGGATAAACTACAGGATCCCAACAGGGACAAAACAATTTGCAATAGAATATGTTTATAGATCAGTAACACAGTTTTTCTGTTTCAGGGTTTCCATGGCCCACTTGTTATAAAACAGAGCTTCCAATAAACAGACAGTTTACTATACTAAATAACTACACAATGGTGATTAGAGCTGCGTTTTAATTGTTTCAAAGATTCTTCCATTTCTGACATGGTTCCTCCTGATGGTGCCGATGCCTTTACGCTTTTAATCCATCACTGCAGCTCAGAATAACACGAGGAGACTGTGATTATAATTAGTAATTAAAACTAACCCCTTTGATGTCTTTTAAAAGAAAAGTAATCCACAGACTGTTGAATATTTCCCATGCTTATAAATGAACATACCCGTCAGACTGACCTTAGGAGACATGGAGAAGGCTACTTTTCTCCTCTGTTCTCCTCTTTGCTTTGCAGTCTGACATGGCTTTTTAAATGTGCATCACATATATGCAGTACTCATCATGAAACAAAAGGAATTCACTAAGACTCTTATAATAATTTCTGCACTTACATACAGTAGCTATATCCTTAGCCTAACTTAATTATTTGCAAATTAATTCACATTTTTCTACAGCTTCTTCTGTTCTAGTCATGTGATCATCTTTCTCACATATCACCCATTTGAGAAACCTCCTTTTCTGTAGCTGTAGCAGAGTTTACCAGCAGATATGCCATTTCATCTCGTGTTAGCTGGATCAAGTATTTCATTCAGCAGAGCCAGTGGTTATCTAGGGCTAAGTGAAGGCAGACTCAGCTGAACCTGCTTAGTCAGACTGACCAAAGTCTCTTGTATCAAATAGGTGCCAGTGTAGGTGGGGTGAACCTGTGTCAAGTTTGTTTGCACCGTGCACTCTTTGTTAAGTACCCGAAGGTTTAGTGGCTTGGATATAATATGGTGAAATATTAAGTGGGGCAGTTGCTAAGTTAGATAATAACATTTTAAAGTAAATATTCATGGCAGTAAGTTTAAAGAACACACGGTGCGAATAGCAGGGGTAGGAGCAGTGACGTGCGGTCAGGGGAGGCAGGTGAGGCAGAGCCTCCCCTGTCAATCTTGAAAAGAAAAAAAAAGTTAACCATAAAATATAAGAAATGTTAATATTTGTCAGCTGGTGTGTGTTGCAGGCCTTTTTGCCGTTCGAATCCGATGTTGAAGGAATTTTTTTCAATAAAGAATAGCAGAATTTTCGTATGTCTTGTTCAAATACATGGAGGAGATGCGTGATGAAGCAGCACTTTGCTGTGCCTCTCGGTGGA